TCTGATCACGTCTCTCTCTCTCTCTCTCTCTCTCTCTCTCTCTCTGTGTGTGTGTGTGTGTGTGTGACGTTGCGTCTGCCATGATGCCCATCAGCTTCAACTTCAGCGAATATGTACACGGTGTGTCGTGCCATATTATCGATATGTGTGTGTGTGTGTGTGTGTGTGTGTGTGTGTGTGTGTGTGTGTGTGTGTGTGTGTGAGAGAGAGAGAGAGAGAGAGAGAGAGAGAGACCACCGCGCCATCATGCTGCGGCCATGATTGTGAGCTACAAGTCCTTGGCGCCTCTTTTGCATCGCAGATAACTTCATCGACGACTCGTTAAGGAAGGCAAGCAAAAACGAAAAGGTAGATCCTGTGGATAAACCGTTCGATCGGTGTCATCGGATGCCCCATCTCTCGCCACGCGCAGATACTCTCTCTCTCTGTACCCCCGCACCCCCCCGCCCTCCGCTCCTCTGCTCTTATCTTCTACTCTGCTCCCCGCGACACCTTTTCTGTGATTTAAAAATTTGTTTTCGCATTTTTTCCATAGTCTTTTTCTATTAGAATGAAAATGTAAAACAAAAAGCAGACGATAAACTGAGGGCAGACTCACACTGAGGGGGCTATTTGAGGTTTTGGAATTTTGGATTTGAGGTTTTGGGATTTTTGTTTGCTGGCTCACATTTTGTTATTTTTTCTGTTGAGTGTAGAATAAATGCTAGTATCAGTAGGTATGGTTAACCAGTGGGCTGGTTGGGTAGCTTCAAAGCAGGGCTTCACTTGGTCACTCAGTGGGCCCACAACAGCTTTGGTTGGAACTGGAGGCCGAAGGTTCGGTTTAGAACCAATGTGGGCCACCGTGGCTGTCCGAGTGGTCGTCTGCTGAGAGTTGATAGGCTCGGTAATTGTGGTCTTCGGTTGATTTCACAGTCTTAGCGTCAGGTTGGGCTGACAGACAAGAGAAACTGGCTAAAGCTGCCAGGATAACTCCGGGTTGAATTGGGAGGTCCCCGGCCTCAATTGCATGTGGTTTTGATAAATTGGATGATTGCTTTTGCAAAAAAAAAAAAAAAGGCCATGGTTCCGGTAGCACTGCTGTACCTTTTCAGGGCATACTCACACTACGACTTATTTACGTATTTTTGATGGAATCTCGGCCAGATACGTGCAGGTATGGACGAATGAGGTCAGATACATTTGAGATACGGCTAGTGTGAGTACACCCTCAGATGGGGCAAGGCCCTGGCCGTCTGGAGCAATCGCAATTTGGTGTGACGTCTGGGGTTCTTTTCTTTTCTTTTCTTTTCTTTTTTTGTGACATGTTGCCCTGATCTATTCGTGGGGGGAATGCACGTGGTTGGAATCAGGCCCAGCGCCCCATACGAAGAATTACCGGGGGCCTAGATAAAAAAATAAAAAAAATAAAAAGAATTACCGGGGCCATCACAGCAACTGTTTTGGAAAATTTTGGCTTCTTGGCTCATGACACGCAAAGATGTGCTTATTTGCATGTCGCCCTTGGGACCACCTACTTGACGAAGGTCCATCTTTGCAAGAAGACCCTACAGGGCCTACACTGTACAAATCCAAGACAATAAACAAATGTGGAAGTCTGTCTGGTGCCCCTGTATTTTCCATAAATTTGCGTCCCAGCCCTCCGATAGACGATTTAGCCTGTGACACCCCTGGGCCTACAAATATTTTCGGCAGGTCCCTTTGGGTAGTGGGCGCAAGTTTCCAGGACGCCCTCCCTCAACTGGTGGTCCCATTCCATCGGGCTCTGCGCCTATGCCCTCGTAAGGGGGACCCATCTTCCTGTGCTGCCCCTCCAGCAGTGAGGCGTTGCAAATTTGAATTCAATTTTGAACCCTGTTCTTGTTGAAGGGCCGCTTCTATTTCTCTTGATGCGCCGACGCTCGTGAAGGCCAACCTCCTGTCCTCTTCGTTTTCGCTCGCCGTCTAGCATAGCAAGGTGAGTGTCGGCCGCCCTCTTCGTTTTGGCTCGTCGCTCTTCCTCTACTGTGTTCATGTCATTCTCTTCCCTGCGAGTTTTGTGTGTGTGTGTGTGTGTGTGTGTGTGTGTGTGTGTGAGAGAGAGAGAGAGAGAGAGAGAGAGAGAGAGAGAGAGAGAGAAATTCCCCTGAGTGCCTCCAATGGGGACAGGGACACACTGAAAAGATCTATTGTACCGGTAGGGGCATATCGGAAATTTTCCCAATGGCTATCTGGTAGGGGCATGATGCAAATTTGATGTGGGTCTGGTCGGGGCACTACGAAAACATATGTGGCCCAAACGACACCAGGGTTTTATGGAAAATTTGACCTCTGGTCAGAGGGGCGCGACAGGGTAACTCAGCTGTTGGAGGGTGCGACGCAAATTAATGAAAAATACAGGGGCGCGAGACAAATTCTGCCTAAACAAATTACGGACACCATACAAATTCAAAAAAAAAAAAAAAAAAAAACAATTTCTTTTTTCTCCCTTTTTTGGAAAACACTGTTCATTGTATGATGGAATTCCCAGACAGATTAGCAGGAAACCCGGAATATGAATTTGTCAGTAGTTCTTGGCTGTTTTGCTCCCTTCATCCTGGATTCCTAAAAGTTTTGCTCCAGTTGCTCACTTTCTTGGTAGTTGCAGACCATGGGACGCTGGACCCGGTTTCCAGCACAAGCTTCACTACCGGGTTGAGATGTTGAGGGATTGCTGGCCTCATTCAATTTCTTTTATAGTATAAGCTGCGGTTTACAAAAAAAAAAAAAAAAAAAAAAAAAAAAAAAAAAAAAAAATCCACTGGAGGTTGTGGACCTCACAATTCTACCCCGTGTATACTGGAGCCATTACACAGCTTCGGCTTTGCTGGAAACCTTGTCCAGCGGCTCAACAGAAGTCCAACTTTTGCCAAAATTATCTTCATCAGACGTATATTCTAGACTCCCACTTTGGCCCACATTAACCCCGAAACAGATCTCTATTCTTAAACCACCAGTACCTTTCCGGGCTTTCCCCCCTAAAGAAAAAAAAGAGTGGTGGTTAACAACGGAGGCCCTACCCTGGTGGTGGCGGCCGGAAAGCTTGGCGCACCCGGCCTGCGGGCTACGTATGCAAAAGGTACTGGCGGTTTAACATTCTCACTGAATGATTCTCAAGGAAGCCTGAACGGCCTAGACGGGAGTTTTGATACTTCTGCCTCGCGGCTACCATAGCCACGGGGCCTGAGAGGTGGGCAAGGCGGTGTCAGATAAGCATGTACAGGTCTTGCGCACTTCCCTACTCAACCGCTGTGTTTCCCTATGTTTAGCGGTAGTGCTGCTTAAGGCAGGTCCTGAGCTATCATCTGTGAGCTGACCGGAACAAGCTAATTCATAATTATTTGATTCTGCTCATCTTATTGTTCCTGGATTCGAACTTGCATCTGTATTTCAGCAGTTCATTGGGTGTACCAACTGAGCTACGCCCGTTGGTAAGAAAGCAAGTTTCTATTTTTAATACAAACAGGTTGTTGCAGGAAAAGAAGGCCAAAAAAAAAGAAAAAAGGTTTTTGCAGGTAAGTTGAGGCAGAGTTTCAAATGTGGCCTAGTCCGTGCTCAAGCCTACGGGGTTCCCCGTAATAATATAATGACAATAAAAAAGGCCTGAAAGGCCATCCTGTCCAGAATTGACAGGTAATTGAATTGGTTGGGCCACTAGTACCTTTCCCGCATGGGAAAATAGGGAAAACTGGCTGTTTTCCCAAACTCCTGAATCTTCGGAGGTTGGGCCCGACGACGACTGCCATTGATAAATCTGATCGGCGGTTGTCATTTCGTTTCGGCCTCCAAAAAGGTCGGATGCCTACCCGAGGCCCGCTATTTTCCAAGCGGCAAAGGAACTAGTTAGCCTTTCAAAAAAAAAAAAAAAAAAATGCGGTCTAGTCACTTAGGTTTAGGCAGACATCCCGGCCCCGGCACAGAAACAAGGGGCGAGGGCAGGCCTGAATCCGGCCCACATCATGGCCAGATTCTTTTTTGAGGCCTTGTAGGCCCCGGTGCTCTTCACTTGCCACAGGAAAAACTTCAGCCATTGATCTATGAGATCAAACGGCTGAAATGTTTCACATAGCAAGTGACGGGCACGGACCTTCGATCTATGACATGACCACTGACACAACTCTTCGCACTCGTCCGAGGTCTACGTAACCAAACTGCATTTCTTTCCTTTTTTTTTTATAATCCAAACTGCATTTCAAGTTTCACCGCCTACTACATGCTTCTTCACCGAGCTGCCAAGAGATAACTCGAGAGCGCTAGAGGAAGCACCCTTTTTTTTCTTTTTTCTTTTTTTTTTAATTTGCTCCATCTATTGGTGGGGAGCGTCACCTGCTGGAAAACGGGTCCAGCGTCCCATATACAGAAAAAGGGGAATGCCTGAGAATGTCTGGTAAAGAAGGAGAACAATGGGGGTGGGACCTGCCAGCATTGATTGCCCTGCGGCCCAGGGGATTGACTGAGCAGGTCTATGAAGTATCCAGTGGTGTAGTCATTTGCCAGCTTGGAGAAATGCCTATTGTACCTCTTCACCCTCAAAAGGAGGGCGCCAGATAACCAGTTAGAAGCTGATACTATTCAGAAGGGCTGCTCACTCCAAGCCATGTCCAAGCTCAGAAAATCTCAGACTACTGTATATATTTGCGGATTCCTGCCCAGGGGGCTCCGGGGAGGGAACCCATAATATGTATGCATATATATGTGTATGCACCTTGTTGTGTGCATGTATGAGGTCATAAGGGAGATCAGAATATCTCGTTCAGGATAAAATCTCAGCCAAAGCCAGGGCATGAGGTGGGAAGGGGTCTGGGAAATCAGAGGGAGGGCGTAATGGGAAGGAAGGTTCTATGTTTGTCCAGTCTTGGAAAACTAGACAGTAATCCCTCATTTCTTCCAATTCGCGTGGTCCCTCTCCTCTGTCACCACTCCATTCTACTTTTGCAATCCATCCTTCTCTATCCCCCGCTACCCAGTCTGTGCAAAATGCCGTAATCCGTCTCCTAACATCCCCAATTTGTTTGAAGAGGTCTAATTGTGTTTTTGTGTCCATCCATCTATGTGTGCATTCAAGGTGAACCAGCTGCTGAACCTGACCTATCATCTCTGACCCCTCCACACGTATCTTCTCCATGGCCAAGGAGCAACTTTGCCACCAAAGTGCCCATAACACCGCCCTTCTTCCCAATCTGTCCATGTTCCCTACGAAGGTCGTGGTTGTCCTTGCTATCGGCCAATGTCCAGCCAAAATGGCTTGCCATGACCAGGGCCAGGGAGTGTCAGCTTGCAATTTGCGCCATACGCGGTCCCACCATCTCCATGTAAATTGGGCAATTGGGCATTGCATAAAAATATGCTCGATGGAAGCACCCATTGAACAGACAGCAGAACTGCGTCATTCCCCCCCCTCCCCCCAACCCCTGTCCCCGCTGGACCCCTCCGTGGACCCCGCCTCAACGG